CTCAACTTAAATAACCCTTTCACCAATATTGTTCTGAAGATAACAAGTGAAGTTGGGTTAATTGAATGAGGTATGATTCATTACAATAGAGGGAACAAGTCTATATATAGAGAAAACAATGAAAGAGAGACATGTGAAAATAAAAAGAAAACCCATTGGGGTAGATTATACATTGGGGGAACTCCCAAGGGTATATCCAGTGGGTATACATCTTCAAATGTATTATTTACCCAATAATGAATTTATTTGAATATCTATTCATTGTTCAGGATATAGTGATATGCTTATCTCCAACAGGTACATAACATATGTAGTATTTATTACTACCACATCTAATTTATATGTACACTCTGTTCTACATTTAGTTACATATGTAACATATTTTATTACATAAGTAATATATAAGTAATCTTTTGTCTGTTTGCCACTACCCTCTGTTGGCAGGCTGACATCATTGGTTTGACCACTACAGCTGTGGTACTTCATGAGTGGTATACAGGAAAGTAGATTCAAGTAAAACCACACAGAGTGTCTTTGGCCTTAGGCCAGCAGGAGTATGTATGATTGGTACTTTGAATGTGTTCCATGAACCTTCATTTTCTTTCCTTTGTATGATCTAGTGAGTCTTCTCATTTACCCTATATAACAAGTGGAATGAGTCTTTGACTGCGGTATTTCAATCTCACCTATTTTGTGTGAGAAAACTAAAGCTTATTTTGTATTATGCAAGATATTACATGAAAATTACATCAAGCTATGTATTTGTATCCTTTCGGAAGGGAGGAGACACATATTTCTTTCTGGAGTTGTGACCATTTTTTTTAAAGGGGTGTTTCACAAAACACTGATCATATCAAGAAAGAAGGTGAGTGCCAAAGATCCAATCTGTGGAAGTCCCATTGTATTTTCACCAGACGCAGCTATATTGCCAAATCAAACTTTGTTTCTAGAATTTACCATGTCTTTTCCCTGCAAAATTCTGGAAACCTTCGTCCTTGGATTAATTGCCTGCTTGCCAGTCTTGTTCCAGTCAGTGAACATTGAATGAATCTTTCTCTCACAAATTTTTACTTCTTTGAGAATTACTTCATCTTCAGTATTTCTCTTTATGCAACTCAAAAAACTCAGATATGTTCCAATTTGTGCACGGTCGGTTTTCCTTGGCTTCTCTATACATCCAAAACTATTTAACTTGTTTACTGTCATTGCTTGATCTGACAATGAGAGTACAATAGAATCCATGTAGTCCTGCAAAGGTTTGTTGTGCATAACTTGGAGATATAGCGAAAGGTCTTGACAAAGTACAGCTTTTGATCAGCTCTAGATAATTTTGAATGACAAACAAGCCTACTCACACTTTGACCAGAATACCAGGAGCTTTCGCTGCCCCGTGTCCGGGAGCTTCTTGTTGATAGCTATATATCCTGGGTATATTTCGGAGATTGCGACAAATTTTTTCCATACCACACTACTTTGAGTGGAAATGCGAACAGGGAGTAGAAAGTGTCAATCACCCTTCTGGGCCAAAAACGCCGTTTCTAAAACATATGGGCTCACTTTTTTGGATCGAGACCTTCGAAAAAACTTGTGACCTTTTGGTTGTAAAGTTCCAGTGTTTTCAAGATTGGAGCATTTCTTGAATCATCGCTCTTACTTTTCAATAATATTTCTTTCCATACTTTGGTCAAGTTAAACTGGATACTTGGTAGTAATCCTTCCAGAGTAGTTTTACTTGAGAGAGTATTGAAGAAATCTAACAAAACTTTTTTCTGGTCGTCAATTATCAATGGTTCATTCTTCAATCTCCTAGTGACTTTTTCCAAGTTTGCAATGAAATTCTCCCCGCTAGATATCAAAAATTCATCAATGTCTTTCTTCAAGTTCTTAAATTGGGATAGATCCTGGGCTAAGCTGCTCTCTACATAAGAAGCTCATGGTTTCAGTTTCAAATTTACATCATTTTCGGGATGACTCGTGTCTCATACTTTCGTTCCAAAACCATGAAACGCGTTCATCCATCCTCTCCTCTGCGAAAGGTCTCACTTCACGTTCTGTCAGGATTTTCAGCCCCGGTGGTTGTATAATACTTTTGATAGTGGTGTATTTATCAGACTCGACTGTGCTTTTTAATATTGAATTATTTTCTTTTGTTATTTTTTTTGCCAATCGGTCTCCTGCCATTGTCCCGGTTTGTGATGTTGACTCATAAACACGTGGTGATGAAATGGCCCCAAAAGATAAGCCTTTCCTCTCTGCAACTAGAACACCACCTGCTAAATCATTTTTTTGGTGGTTTGGCCTGAATGAGTTCACTGAAATAGACTGTTGGAGTACAAGATTTTGTGATCTTGGCTCGGAAACAGGTGGTATCTCAGAAGGCAGGCGTTTCTCTTTTACAACTGAATCGACCCCCTCTACCGATATGCTTTTACAGTGTTGGCTATTTGGGTAAGTCGACAGATAGTCTTCAACTGGTTTTAGCATGTGTTCAAGATACACTTCGGGTAAGCAAGGAAGATCAAGTAATTCGTCTTTGGTAAAAAAACAAAAAAGGTGGGATCACAATCAGCATCCAGGAAAGGCATGTATCGCACTTAGAAGAGATATTGCAAATAAGACAAGAAAGGAAAGTTGAAGACCTTTGTCAATGAGATCCCAACTATCTTCGAATGCAGGTGGGCCCTGGAGTGCGTGGGACCGATGATTCAAATATCCAGCGATCTCTATTATCATCAATAAGTAAAGAGTTTTTTTGGAAGGGAAGCTCATTGTTGCAATTACAGTATTTCACAACGCTACTGCTATAGATTAAAGAGCCAAAAAATATAGGATGCTTTTGCGAAGACTTTTTTTCAGATGAAGCGCTTAAGGTTGAATCCAATGCGGTGTGGGTATGAGAGACAAAGGGAACCGATAGGGCTTCTTGCCACGACAAGTCCGTCTTGGGAAGATATATCACCTGATGCTCATTTGTCAACAATATTTGTCGAGGTAGAGTACCAGAAACTGAGACACATTTCAAAAGATGTTTTGATATCTTTGGCATCTTCATACGCATGTATGTCACGGCCGAGTTATCTCATCCCACTTGATGATTAAAAGAGGAATGAAAAAAAAAATCAATTCTGAACCATGCCACAAGATTTTTCACCCTCTCACAATTTGATGAGCCCCTGTAGCTTATCTCTGATGAACAGATGTGACTAAATTAGAGATGGGGTACGTACGAATTCTCTTTCCGCAGATGAAGAAAGAGAACTGTACAGGGATAGCACGGAGTGGGGTTTATATAGTGTGAGATTTTTGACCTAGTGTATAGGTCTATTGCACCACAAAGAAAATTGCATCACATAGAGGCATGCTATGTTACATAGCAAACTTCCATGGGATGAAAATATGTTGGCAGTGTTGGTTTCTGGATATTCTTTTAGAAATTTTTGTTTCATATTTTGTCAATTGTATATCAACAATTTTACATGAAAGCAGTGCCACCAAAGCATTTGATAGATAAACATGAGTCCAGATCTTTTTGTCTATGCACCAGATTTTCTGTCTTCATTCCGCCATATGGGGAAAGTCAATTTTGTATGAGGGCAGCACTTTATAGGACAAATACATGTGCACAACTCCCAACTCACAAAGGACCACGAGATTGTTTGATTAATGATCATGGGACAGGCTCAAATGGGCCTGATCAGATGATTAGAATTGAGATCATGAGAAACTAGATAAAGAAACAGAGATCTTAGAGGAAATAGAAATAAGGAAACTCCATCAGGCACCTAATCCACCAAACCATTTCCCCGTTCAAGCACTTGTTGTTGAAGTTATGAGTTACCTTTGGAAGGACTTTCGGTTGTATAAGGAGTCCGGAGACTGTGAAGATACTCTAACTGGGATAGATCAAATAACCTAACAGGATTCAAAGTCTCATATACACACACCTCACACTGCTCATCGGCCTAGGTTCAGACGCACAACAAGGGATATGGACAGACTCAGAAATAACAAACACAAGGGAGTTGCGAGGATTATATAGTGATGAACATTGGTCAGGAAACTACTTAGTGAGACGCGTATGCGACGCGTGAGTGCTGGGCACGTTGGACGTTGAAGAATGACTTTTACATGTGTTTACATCGACACTTGTATGCTACTGTACAAGTACTGCGTATTACAGTATTATTTCTGGATGTGTTCAGGGTGGATGTGCGGCACAGTGGGGTAAAGGGGAATCCAATTCAGGTGATCTCATATATGTTTGATACTGAAACATAGGGAAGGAGCAGAAGTGAAAGCCTCTGATTCTTTTAGCTGTGCGCACAACACTATCACATGTGCTCTCTACAACTGTCACAAAACCTGTCTCATCGCTATGTGTTTGAGCCTGGCTCATAACAATATGTAATACATCACCATACTCCATGTAAATTATCTATGGCATGATAGATTATGTTACAGTATTTTATGTAATTTATATGCAATCTCTTAGCCATGAGATAATCTGGTTTCTGAAAACTTTCAATGTCTCTCCAGTGCCTGATACAAATGTTGTCCACACAGGGTTGAGCAACACTTCACCTGACCACTGATAACACACGCTGACCTAAAATGTCAAGCATCGGATAAACAGGCTCGAGGCTGTCAGTGAGAGAAAAACATCACGCACTTGTGGATCAACATATAAGAGAGGAAAGGGAAAACAGTGGAATAAAGCATGAAGGTAAGGGTTGACTTACTCTTTCCCAGCTAAAATTGAGCTTAGAGAAAGAGTAGGTCCGAGGGACACGAGTGAATTGGTGCATGGCACTAGGGAAACTTTGGCATTAGCATTCTGATCTTACTACACTGCTGAGCGGTGTGCTACTGTACTTCCACAGTTTCCTCAGATCATGCCATGGCTGACAACCATAGTCAATATGGTAGTCCCAAAGATATTGATAGCTTACACCAGTCAGTTTTCAAACCTGTCTGAGACTACTTTTGAGATCAAAAAATATTGCACACTTCAGGGTCCAAACCTGTCAGTTCTGTACTCTACACAGGTGCTCTACCAACTGAGCTAAACACACATAGGAACTTCTCACCAGTGTTCTGATCACCACACTTTATCATGTCTCAAGGTATTCTTTCATACCTATTTTAGGACTATGTGTTGGAGTAGATTACATCATCTTTCAATATGCCATGGCTGATGATTATAGTAAATCTACTGGTCCCAAAAATACTACTAGCTTACACTAGCCAGTTTTGTAGCTGTCTGAAACTACAATACAATTACTGAATCTAATGAGTTTTTTTTTTGGCTGTGGTTACTGATTCAAATGCAAGTGTTGTATCTTGGGCTAAGAAAGGATATTGAGGTCTTACAATAACTAGTCCATTATGATACACAGCAATGCAGAACCCCTTTCAAATACTGTAGTGGTCATTCACTCCCAGATAGCTGATGACCACTCCAATATTCAGAACCTACTCCTGGCCATACATCTTGGTGGCTAAAAGTATATGGCAGTATGGTCCAAATAGTCCATTTATGTGTCTCTATAAGGCCAAACTATATTGTTGTGCCACTATCCACTGTGAATTTGCAATAGAATCAATAGCACTGTGATGGTACCACTGTGAAGTTTTACAACTACAGTATTGTATGTGTAAGTTCACTACAATACCTCCAAAGTAACACTACATTACATGTAATTTATGTATTGAATTGGACACCTCTTAGTGTGTAAAATGTTATGTCAAAAAAACAAATTTCAAAAAAGCACCTGAAAAGAACTGGAGATTGGGCCTTGACAAGCTGAAGCTACAGTATACCAATTTATCTCTGTTGGAGGTTGAACCGAAGAAATTATCCAAGTGAGCATAAAGTTTATCCAGTTTCTACATTGATTTTTTTTTTTCTTTCCCAATCATTTGTATCCTACCTTTTCTCCTTGTCCTTGCAAATGTGGGACAAAGGGGCTGATTGGCGCCACGGACAGGAAATATGCGCGCACCCCTCCTTCTCGGCCGCAGAGTGCGGCACCCAGATGTAGAGGTGCGGGCGTACACCCGGCGGCGGACCCCAGTGTTCCGCCCACCACATTAGTGGGAGCGCTGAGATGGATGCTGTCGATGGGCGTGCGTGGATGTTTGATCAGTTTCAGGAGCATCTGCGTCACGTAAGCCCACGGTTGTCGGACTACCGGAGTGGATGCTATTTCAAAAATGACACGTGATCGGATGAGTGGTGATCGAGGGTTCGGATTGAGACCGAACCTGACCGAACCGAGAGAGTTGTGATCACATGTCCTGGGCTAAGTAGAGTCTATTATGTACATAAGTAAGTAAGTAAGTAATCGGGCCAGCCCTTGATCGAACTTGCCAGTCATTTTTCTCCCTTCCTTTGTGTCCATTCTCCAGACCCTTATTGTCAAGTTATGGTCTGACTGCCTACCTAAATACTTCAACAGACCTCTCTTCATTTTACTACCTACTCACTGTGCCACCCTCTCGCAGTGCACCTGCATCTCATCATGGCGAACAACCCATCGAGCATATTGAGATCTATCTCAATCTCAACCATCCTTCTCTCTCTCTGTTTACAATCACTCTCCATCAACCAACTACCGCCTAGCTCGCCACGCAAGTCTATCAACTATGGTCCTCTCGAGTCTCCCGAGCACCATTTACACACCTCTATCTTTTCTACCGTTCCCCAATCCGACCGCGCTCCAGCTGACAGACTTGCTACGCTTCTCACCTTCAACTCTGGACCCGCTGTGGCTCAGTTTGCGCGCACCGCCACTAGTATGCACGCTGCAGGTGGCGACGCTTCGAGCCTCAAAGAGCTCGGCATTCAAATCGCCAGCAAGTTCATCACCCAGACTCACCCCTCGCTTACCTACAAGCTCAGCTCGGCTTACGTTTCCAAGCATACCAATGTGCTTCACTGCCACTTTGTCCAAACGCTTCCGATCGGACCTGGTGGTGAGCTTGGATCGGTGTCCAATGCTCTTGCTAACTTCAACCTCGACCTACGTCCAACTTCGAAGACTTTTGGGCACATCTTGAGTTATTCTGATTCCTTCCATCCTCTCGAATCCACTCACGAGCTCGTCAACGCTGGTCACGGGCAGCCGGTGAACCTACACCATGTCACTTCGCTCATTGCTGAGAAGCGGGGTGCCGGTACGGTGAAGCCTTGTAAGGCTCTTCAACGCAAATTCGCAGAAGCGCTTGAGCAAGCCGAAGCAGCGGCCGATGTCGCAGGCCAACAGGTTCTCAGTTTGATCTCGTTACCTACCAAGTTATCCCCTCTCGGCAACAGTTTGCTCTCGGCGTTCAGCGAGAGCGAGCTTTTGGAGATTGCGGGCTGCGATAGTTCTGAGGATCGTTCGACGGCCGACCACAGCACCCATCGCGAGAAGGCCTCAGCGGTTGTCGACCCAAGACTTGCTCTAGTGAGCTTCTTGACGATGGCTGCTGACGAGAAGACGGATGCACATCTGCGCTCGAGGTCCATTGACGATATCGTCGATTCGATTGAGATTGTCACCCCGCGCCACTTCAAGGCTGGCCCCAGCCCACACTCCGTTCAACTTTTAAATGTGCCTGGTATGGCATCGAAGGAAGAGCCAACGGCGGCTGAACTTGCTTGGCTATCCGTCGAACATCCCCATCAGACTGGAGCACGCGAATTACAGTTAGTATGGCGATTCGAGTATCGCAGTCACGCAAATTGGTATGAGTCGTATGTGGATGCAACTCGCCCGGGTCTAGTGCCAATGGTAGTAGACTGGGTGAAAGACTTCCGACCAACTACGTAAGTCTTGATCCAACTCTCTAGAAACGATTGGATTAGAGAATCTCACTGAATGGGCATCTGTCTGCACATTTTTCTTAGTGAGACTGCCGAGACTTACGCTGAGCATCTTGCTATCACTGCCAATGTTGCCAAACGCTTCGCCGACCGCCCCGCACACACCATCAAAGCTGTGAATCCCGATAGCATCCCGGATACGCCTGCGCGCGTCATCGGCGAAGCCCGCCCATCAAGCTACCGCGTCTTCCCTTGGTCGGTCAATGATCCGACCGAAGCAAAGCGAGAGATTGTCAAAGACCCTTCTAACAATTACGCATCGCCCCTTGGTTGGCACTCGATTCCCCAACCTACTCATGGTTTAGCAAAGGATATCAGCAAGCTTACTGAAGGATGGGCGAAACTTGTCAAGACCCATGGACTTCATGCAACCGATACTCGTGGTAATAACGTGTTTGCGCAAGAGAATTGGGAAGGTCTCGATAACTGGGAGTCTAACTATAGACCTAATGGCACCGATGATCTTTGTTTTGAGTTTCATTTGGGTTGGAATAAGACTGAGAATAAGGACGAGCGTGGGCATATCGAACCAAAGCAATACATTGACGCAGCGATCAGTGAACTGTTTTATACTTGTAACTCTGTACGTGCTTGCGGAGTTTTGGAAGCTTGTGGGGCAGACGGTTGAGTGACTTTATGACTTTTTTTTCATAGTTTCATGACTTGACTCACCGATACGGATTCGATGAAGGTGTGCACCTCTCCTCTACCTACGATTATGTATTTTCTATCATCTGACTCTCCCTTGCCTGGTCACTGTAACTAGAGTCTGGAAACTTTCAAGAACATAACTATGGGCGTGGAGGCAAAGGCGGTGATGCAGTGATTGCGAACGCCCAAGATGGATCTGGCTGTAAGTTTCCGGCTCTCGGCGTCAATCTATAAACTTCCACTTGATTTATACTGATTTTCGACTGTGTTGACGGGCCGCACAGACAACAACGCGAATTTCGCGACCCCCCGTGAGTTTCTGTAAGCTTTGGACAGCGCTACATAGTGTTCTTACTGAAGCGAGCTTTATGGTTTTTGTAGCTGATGGTCGCCACGGACAGATGAGGATGTATGTATGGAATGGTGCCGAACCTTGGAGAGATGGTGATCTGGAGGCTGGAATCGTTATTCACGGTAAGTTCCACTTTGACCCTGCACGTGAAGCAGAATCGTCCTGAGTCGATCTGATTCTTCTCGATAGAATACTCTCACGGTGTCAGTACTCGATTGACAGGTGGCCCGGCTAACAGCGGGTGTCTCGGATGGGGTGAGGCTGGTGGTATGGGAGAAGGTGAGCTCCTCTTGACCAAACAGACGAGAGTGATTTGATGTACTCTAACTTTTGGTTTCTGGTTTGGTCATATTTAGGATGGGGAGATGCATTTGCGACCCTGATCAGGATGCACGCCGCCAAGCCGATTGACTACACTATGGGCGAGTGGGCGAGTGGGATGAAGGGTGGTATCAGGAAATACAAGGTTGGTATCCGTGACAGTGATGGCCCGGCTCGTTTGCACACTGCTAACTCGTCTTCTCTCTCTTTCGTTATAGTATTCCTTGAACAACACCGTGAACCCAGAGACGTACAATACTTTAGACAAGCCTGGCTACTGGGGTGTTCATGCGATCGGAGAGGTGTGGGCAGAGATGCTGTTCACTCTTGTGGAGGCCTTGATCGAGAAACACGGCTTCGAACCCAGCCGTAAGTCTTACTCCTTCCCTCGTTTTCTGTGTTTCTAATCCACTAAGACGAGATTGTCTACCATAGTTTTCCCATCCGATACCCCTGAGAGTGACTTCTACAAGACCACCACCGATGGTCGTCAAATCCCTCGACGTGGTAACACGCTCTTCTTTCAGCTTGTCCTGGATGGCATGAAGTTACAACGATGTCGCCCGAGCTTCATCAACGCTCGGGACGCGATCATTGAGGCAGACGTAGTCTTGACCGGGGGAGAAAATGTATGTGAAATCTGGAAGGCTTTTGCGAGCCGCGGGCTAGGAAAGAATGCTCGTGTAATTGGGTCCACCCCGTGGGGCGGCGGTGTTCGAACTGAGGATTACTCGATGCCCATTGGGGTGTGTTGATGAGGCCCTTGTATCTCTTTCTCTCTCTTCATCAGTCTTTTTTTTTTTCTTTTCTTTCCAAGTAGGAGGCTTGTAAGAAGTAAGAAGTGTTAGGACGTGTAATAGATAGCATCAAAGACTGCGTCT